CCACTGCAAGCCGACGTGGTCTCTGAGCGCTACCATGAGTCAGTTCAGTCGGGTGTAATGCAGATGGACTCACCACTTCCGCCAAGGCAGTCGACGCCACGTGCGCTCGCAGGGACACGTGCATGTCCCAGTGCGTCTTGTCGTGGACCGTGCACGCTCCCATGTCGGCGTCGCCAACTAGCACGCGGGTGCCGATGGCTACAAGCGTCGTTGCATGGAGTCATGCTCCAGTGTCATCGTCAATCCTTGACAACGCCGCCCACGACGTGCGAGGACAGATGGCTCGCTATCGCCGCCGTCTTAGGACATCGACCACCACCACATGGTCACGTACTTTAGCAGCGTACAGGGCGCCGTGCGTCGCAGCCATGCGCCTTGGATTCCTTCCGCCGGTCGACCTTCATCCAGGCGCGGCCGTCGTGGCCCAAATGGAAAAATGATTCGCCGCTTTGGATTGGCCAAAACGACGACAAAATGAAGGCAACAACCGGACGTGTATCCGGATAGATGCCGTCTCTCGATCCCTAATATCGGCACATGCCGAATCCACTGGTATCCGGACGCCATTTTCGCGAGAGGTGCCAAAAAACGAGCAAGCGGCCGAGCCCATCGGCAGCGCGGTCGTAGCAGCCACGAGGACGGCGCTGCAGTCGCCTTCTCCAGCACCGCCAGCATGACGCAACGGATGTGATCTCTGGAAGCGACTGCCTCGACCAGCGCCAAGGTCTGGCGTTGCGCCACGTCTTGGAAAGGCGCAGTTGGCGCAGATGCCAGCTATGCTTCGCCGCATGGAACTTGCTGGCTGTGCGTCTGTAGGCAAGTACGCAATACGTGGCAGCAGGAGGAACGAGTGCCAGCGACTGCGTTTGGTGTATCGTCGCTTTAAGCATCGCCTGCGGTACGACCTTGACCTACAGGTACGCACATGTGTAGCTTGGGAGATTGATATCGTCTCGTCTCGATCCGCTGCATCTCGATGGCCTGTCGAAACTCCAGTCTCCGGTATGAGCGTCATGGGCAATTCGACGTCGCCCTACCAGTGTGCAGTCTGGAAGCACACAATAGAAAATCCTTGTACCAGAAAGAAACCGTACTTACTCCATGCAAAAGACTCACAGGTCCCGCGCCAAGCTGGAAATGCGTGTGGCACATCATGCATGACATTGGTGCTGGCCGTGCGCTAGTCGCCGAGGACCAACGTGTGTCGCTGCAGCTCCACTATCAGGCACAGGTCCAGCGTGGCGGTAACGTCACCGTCCAGGCCAGCGACGCGGCCAAGTTGGCGCGTTGCGATCGATCATCGGCGGCATCGCATTGGCTCGCGAGTGCGGCAGCCTCGCGGCTCGCAATAGCATACGACACCAGGTGCGACTGCGCAGACAGCATCGTTGAAGAAGAGCGACAAGACGACGAGCCGCCGCGGGATCGAGGAACCTTCAAGCACACTGCATGGCGGCGGTGCCCCCTCATCGTTGGGCAACAAGCGACGGCCGCTGTCGACGACTATGGGCTTGCAGGCTCGATGAGACAAGTCTCCAACCATCATTGCATCCGGATCAGGGTCGGGATTGCGTGTCATCCGGATAACCTGTCGTTCAATTGTGGCGGCCGGCGATCGGCGGGCTCACTTGGCAACAGGGTGCGGATGACGACGGAGGTACTTGCCATGATGCTCAAGCAACTCGTCCGAACGAATGCGAATGCGGTTGGTGTAGGAGGCGCTACTGGACGCAGCCCGAGAGGGCAACCTCGTCGATGTCCAACAGTGTCTCGCGTCGGGCGTCAACCTCAACGCCGCACTTGAACACCAGCGTTGACGGCGCCAGCCAAGGCGCTCGGGACCAAGGTGGAAGCGCACTTTCGGTATGTGAAAGCGCTTGATACGGCCGCGGTCGTTCGCGTCTCGACTGATATCTACTAGTATATATATAAGAACGTGTTTCGCGTTATTTTCGTTGTTAGAAAGAGTTTGCATACGTAGAGACTAGCATTCTCCTTCTTCTTCATTCACTCGCCAGGCCGTGGCTGCGCAGGCGGCGGCGCGGGGGTGCAGCTTGCTCTTCTGTGGTTGCCCGGGGGCGCTTGCGGCCGCGGGTGAGGCTCATGACGACAAGCTCCGTAAATTCCTTCCAGTCGTCACGGTCGGCGGCAAAGCAACGCAGTTGGTTGAGGTCCTCGAGAGATGCCAGCGACTGAGGCGGCGTCAACGACTGGAGGTCGCGGTGCAGG